CGCGACTCCTACGAGCTGACCCTGCGGGTGCGCGATGGCGGCGACCCCCCTCGCTCTTCCCAGGCCATCCTGCGGGTGCTCATCACCGACGTGAACGATAACAGCCCCCGCTTCGAGAAAAGTGTGTATGAGGCCGACCTGGCGGAGAACAGTGCCCCGGGCACCCCGATCCTGCAGCTGCGCGCCACCGACCTGGACGTGGGGGTCAATGGGCAGATCGAGTACGTGTTCGGAGCGGCCACCGAGTCGGTGCGGCGGCTGCTAAGACTCGATGAGACCTCTGGCTGGCTCAGCGTCCTGCATCGCATCGACCGCGAGGAGGTGAACCAGTTGCGCTTCACCGTCATGGCCCGCGATCGCGGACAGCCCCCCAAGACCGACAAGGCCACCGTGGTCCTCAACATCAAGGACGAGAACGACAACGTGCCGTCCATTGAAATTCGCAAAATCGGCCGCATTCCACTCAAGGATGGAGTAGCTAACGTGGCCGAAGACGTCCTGGTTGACACTCCTATTGCCCTGGTGCAAGTGTCCGACCGAGACCAAGGTGAGAACGGCGTGGTCACCTGCACTGTGGTGGGCGATGTGCCTTTCCAGCTCAAGCCGGCCAGCGACACCGAGGGCGACCAGAACAAGAAAAAGTACTTCCTACACACCTCGGCCCCTTTGGACTTTGAGACCACCCCAGAGTTCAACGTGGTCATCGTGGCAGTGGACTCTGGCAGCCCCAGCCTCTCTAGCAACAACTCTCTGGTGGTCAAGGTGGGAGACACCAATGACAACCCGCCGGTCTTCGAGCATTCCGTGGTGGAGGTGTACTTCTTCGAGAACAATGTCCCGGGCGACCGGGTGGCCACTGTGCAGGCTACCGACGCAGACAGCGGGAAGAACGCGGAGATCGCCTACTCCTTGGACTCATCCATGATGGGGATCTTTGCCATTGATCCCAATTCGGGAGACATCCTGGTAAATACGGTCCTGGATCGGGAGCAGACGGACAGGTATGAGTTTAAAGTTAACGCCAAAGACAAAGGCATCCCAGTGCTCCAGGGCAGCACCACAGTGATTGTGCAGGTGGCTGATAAGAATGACAATGACCCCAAGTTTATGCAGGACGTCTTCACCTTCTATGTGAAAGAAAACTTGCAGCCCAACAGCCCCGTGGGGATGGTGACCGTGATGGATGCTGACAAGGGGAAAAACGCGGAGATGAGGCTCTCCATAGAGGAGAGCAGTGACATTTTTTCCATTGAGAATGACACGGGCACCATTTACTCCACCATGTCCTTTGACCGGGAGCATCAGACTACCTACACTTTCAGAGTCAAGGCTGTGGATGGGGGAGACCCTCCCCGCTCTGCCACTGCCACAGTCTCTCTCTTTGTGATGGATGAAAATGACAATGCTCCCACAGTCACCCTCCCCAGGAACATTTCCTACACTTTGCTGCCACCTTCAAGTAATGTCAGGACAGTAGTAGCTACAGTGTTGGCAACAGACAGCGATGATGGCATCAATGCTGACCTTAACTACAGCATCGTGGGAGGGAATCCCTTCAAGCTGTTTGAGATTGATTCCACCAGTGGTGTGGTTTCCTTAGTGGGGAAACTCACCCACAAGCATTACGGCTTGCACAGGTTGGTGGTGCAAGTGAATGACAGTGGGCAGCCATCCCAGTCCACCACCACTCTGGTGCATGTGTTTGTCAATGAGAGTGTTTCTAATGCAACTGTGATTGACTCCCAGATAATCAGAAGTTTGCACACACCCCTCACCCAGGACATAGCTGGTGACCCGAGCTATGAAATTAGCAAGCAGAGACTCAGTATTGTCATTGGCGTGGTTGCTGGTATTATGACAGTGATTCTGATCATCCTCATTGTAGTAATGGCCAGGTACTGCAGGTCCAAAAACAAAAATGGCTACGAGGCTGGCAAAAAAGATCACGAAGACTTCTTTACACCCCAGCAGCATGATAAGTCCAAAAAGCCGAAAAAGGACAAAAAAAACAAGAAATCCAAGCAGCCCCTCTACAGCAGCATCGTCACTGTAGAAGCTTCGAAACCAAATGGACAGAGATATGATAGTGTCAATGAGAAGCTGTCAGACAGCCCTACCATGGGGCGATACCGATCTGTTAATGGTGGGCCTGGCAGTCCTGACCTGGCAAGGCATTACAAATCTAGTTCCCCACTGCCTACTGTCCAGCTTCACCCCCAGTCACCAACTGCAGGAAAGAAACATCAGGCCGTACAAGATCTACCACCAGCCAACACATTTGTGGGAGCAGGAGACAACATTTCAATTGGCTCAGATCACTGCTCTGAGTACAGCTGTCAAACCAATAACAAGTACAGCAAACAGGTAAGACGCCTTCCAAATACATTTAAGTACAATCCCAAAGAGGGCGAATAACTCTGAGCCAGCATCTTTCTGTAAAGTTGTGTCTTCAGTTTTCTCAGTCTATTATTTTATTTTTTAATAGCGGGAATTTAATGTCAGGTCATTCAACATGAATTAAGCAGAGGTCATCGGTGGAGGATACAAGAGTGTGTTTTGCAAGTTGGACCCAAGGTTCTCTGAGCTCCTACAGGCAGTATTCAAAGTAGGCAGTTTGCACTTCTCATTGCACTTGACAGCCCTAATTCATCTTACGTTATCTGCCTCCAGAGTAAATTTGTATGTAGGTATTTTTGAATGGTTAGCTTTCCCCAGGAATCATTCTCTTTTGAGGCTACTAAGTGGATAATTGGATAAAGAGATACAATTTTGCAAGTTACTCCTGGTGTCTATGCAAATTGGACACTATCAAAGTTTTAGCTACATTATACATTATGCAGGCTTTTACAGATAAACAGATGCTGATCCATGCTAATGTAGTACCAAGCCTAAAATACTGAAGTACTAACTATTTTGACGGAAATAGAGCTTTAAAAACATGTAATGATATGCAAATGTTGTGCAAAACTACATTTGTAATACATTGATATCTGTAAAAATTAGGCTTTCGTGATGGCAGGTATTTGCAAGCATTTGAATTCTTCGTGTTTAGTTTTAAAAGTTTAAAGGTAAAATTAAATTGCATGAGCCCATTCTTGTCTTAGCAAAGGCACAAAAATTCTTGAAATTGATGTACATACACCATGTATGAATATTTTGGTATGTATTGTGATATATTGATAAGATGGCAGGTATATGGAATACTCAACACAATTCTTTCTTTGTGAAATGTGGAAACAGTTTTTTAAATGTGTATATCCCGAGGTGGACTTCAGAAAGGAGAAGATTTACTTTTGCAAGTTTTGCTTCAGTGATACTCAGAAAGCCTACTCTTCATACACCAAAGTTTATTTGATGCAGAGCAAATAAAACTTTTTGTAAACTGCTGTGTCTCATCTGTAGTGAATTCTAATAAGAAAGCATCACATATATCATTACTGCTAGGACTCATTTCGAAAACCGTATTGTAACTCTCAACTCATTATCCATCAACAGGCTTCCTGTTACCTGTGGTTGGCCTGTTGAATGTGTAATGTGAGAGTTATTCAGGCAGAGGAAAAAGTTACTGCCATGACACTCACGGAAGGTGTCATTGAAAAGGGATATAAACTCTTTATTTCTTGTAAAATTATTAAAACCAGCTTATTCAGGAAGCTTTTTTATGTAGAACATGCTTTCCTGGAGCTGTTATAGATGGTACGAATAGACATAATAGGCTTTTATATCCAGTCATCAAAGCAATCTGTGGAGGAGACACACATTTAAAATACATCACATTAATGCATTTTGGGGGAAGTACATTGTGTTCATGGCTTTTGATATGTCTTTTGGTCCATGTGAGCTCAAAGCACTTTGACCTGAAATGTGACAGTGCGGAGTTTGCGTCTTCTGTGTTGTTGCTTTACCTGGAATCAGAAGCACATTTGTCTTTTGCTTTTGGTGATTTTATCAGTTTTGTGACTGAGAAAGAATCCCACTAAAATAATAGTATATTTACAAGCTTACTTGTAAGCACTTACAAATAAATTGAGAATGCAGGTGTGTTCCCTAGAAAATGGTAAACTAGAAGGTCAACTCTCTTGGAAAGATCAGCTGTCATCTAATGGCTACTTCTCATCCTGTGGCTGAGTGGTATTTGCAACCTAAATTGCCTGATCTTAAGCTTTTGAGTGAACACATCAAGTGGCAGGTTTATGGCTGTTTTATACAAACACCTCATAGGATCTGTGCTGTCCCTTAAGCTTCATTGGGCTCATCAGATAGAATCAGCTCTGTATTCTTGAATATTTAAAACCACCAGTATCCAGACTGTTGGCATCCTGTTTAAAAGGCAAAGTGATCCGCTTGTAAATAAACTCGTGTCTGATGCTATGCTCTTCAGTGAGCAAAGAAACCCACAGACCACAAGAGAAAATGCACCAAGCAATTGGAATGAATCACGCAGTTCACCAACAGTGACTTTGGGAAACTAGTGTGCCATTTGGTATTCAAAAGATGTTTCAGGTTTTAGTCATGAGTAAACAGTTGACCCATAATGAAATGATGGAGATTGAAACCCACTCTCTTTAATGTAATTAGTGATAGTAATTGATACGCTTCATCTCCATATTGCTGTCAAGGGACAGGGATATCCATGGACAAAGTTACATTCTGTATAGTCATCTAACATAGGACACGGGATCCTTTTGTTCTGATTTGTGTGTACCTAAGAAGATGGCTTTTTCTTCTCATGTTTAAAAGATGTTGGCTTTAATATATATATAAAATTAACTTTCAAAATACATTTTCTTTGATTAAGCCTGATATGAAAGGGGAAAATGAAAAGAAGACAAAGTCTTATCATAATCTCCCCTCTTTTTATGATACTAAATTTGAGGAAAAACACCTGAGGATTGCCTTCTTTGAATTCCTTGCAGGAGGAGTTAATTGAACATCTGAGATTTCATCTGATGTCAACCCTTTCCTTACGTTTACAGCTCCCTGAATTGCCATATCAGAGTCCTTCTCTGGTGATCATTTCTAAGTGATGTCTCTTATGGCTCTGCTGTCTTCGTGAGCATTTGAGAAGACCTTGTGAGGTGCCCCTCCCCAGTTGCATTTATGGTTACATTAGAATAAATTAAACAGCGTTGCAGAGATAAAAACCTGCACATAACCAGCGCTCCCTGTTTGGGTTTGTTTTTACAGGCTCTAGAGACATTCAAATCAAGCTGCCTTAGTTACTTCATGACAGATTCTAGGAGATGTGTGTTTCAGAGGTTATTTCTGAAATTCACACATTAGAGAAACTGGTGATGTAGCCCAGGTTTTCATCGTTCAGGCTTTTTCAAAGGAAACAAAAACTTCTACTCTCAGAGAACTCAGTGTGTTTAGCTGAACACTGCGTAGCTTGACAGAATTATGGAGATGAACCGTCCACCTTGATTTCATGCCTTTGGTGGATAAACATGGGCATGGTGGCTGCCAGTGTTGTGACCTGAAAGTACAAGTATATTCCGGTCCTTTTTGAGTTATATAACAAAAGCAAGTTATTCTGTTGTTGTTTTTCTGCTTATTGTAACCCTCTGGTGTTTCACTAAGTGTTAAATGACCATCTTTCAACTTTTAAAAAGAAACATAATTCTCTAAGATTAATAGATGATGTAAAAGTATGACTACCACTTTGCTCATTATTCTCAAATCCTTTTTAGTTTATCATTGCTATGCTGTTATTTAGATAATGCACTTGCTAGTAAAATTTTATTGTGTTTAGTAAATGGAAAGTAAGGTACTTTATTTTTTGGCAAGAGTACAAAGCATACAGATTGAATAAACATTAATTTAAAAATCCATTTGTAGCTGATCCTGAGATACTCAAGGAAAAAAAATTCCAATGGCAGTCTTCTTTGCATAAGGAATTGCTGAATTGAATCTGAATAATGCTTTCTTTAATTGATCAGATTCTGTCAATATATTGTGTGCTTAATAAAAGTGTGGCACTTTTTTTTTAATTACTTGCATTTTGGAAGTAAGATGAAGACTTAAGACTTAGATGCAATAAGAACTGAGTGCCAACGATATTTGTATATATAAATTAAACAGTATGTACTATAGTTGAAATGCATCTGTAAGTGATGTTAGTGACCACTTCTAGTTTTAATCTTGTCATTCAATTTCTGAAATTCCACGATACAATTTTCCCATCTGTCATAATCCCATCTGAAACTGTCTAAAGGCACAATTGATGTACAAATAGTGGGAATCCAGTTACATTTGGCTTGATCTCATCAGCAAAAGGCCAGCGACTGATTTAAGTTACATTTGTTGTCATTAGTGCAAAGGAGCTCACTAAAAGAGCATTACTTGGAACTTAGGATGCCTGGGAAACAAGGGAAAGATCACCCACTGATTTGATATGAAATGAGTACACAAATTTGCGTGAAAGTCTCTCAAATTTGAACCTATTCCTAAGAACCTATTGTATTGCTCTCACATTGATTCTAACTCGCAGCAATCCTATAGGACAGGTCCGAACTGCCTCATGGGATTTCCAACACTGCACACCTTTAGGGAATCAGAGAGTGGATTCAACCCACCCGCTTTCAGCTGGCAGCAGAGTGCTAAAGCACTGTGCCACCTGGGATCCTCCTTATCCCAGAGGCACTGTGAATTAAAAAGTGACTTTGATACTAGACCAGTCAACTGAAAGATTTCAAATTAACCACGCACCTGGAAAAGCACAGCAAAGCATTCTTTGTTTGTCATCTTTCCATCTTCAATGGTGTGTCTCAGTTGTGAGATGGCATTCACATGCTAAAGCTCATCAAATATAGTTCTGAGCCACCTGAAGATGCCCACATACATTCATACACAGGTGTATCAGCAGTGCTGCCATTACACATTTTTTTGCCTTGTGATTTTTATATATTGATATATGGGAAATTTCTGAACATTAAACACAAACTTGAAATAAAACAGACTGTAATTAACAGTGTAATTGCCACATTCTGGAATGACAAGTTATCAGTTTAGCCAGTACATTACATCCCTCCATTATGCAAATATAATTTGATTAAGATAAAAAAATTAGCAGAGATACAATGTGAACTAGAACTCAGAGCCTAGTGTTCTTTTGCGGTTTGTTATTCCATTGTTAGGGAAAATATAGCATGCCACCAACTTTATATATATATATATATATCTTTAAAAATATGTTGAAATTTACTTTTACATGTCTAATTTCATTTGTTTGTCTATCAAGGTTGATATTTTTACAATAGGATGTGATTCTGCTTTAGGCTGTGCTTATCCACAAAATGATCAGAGAGCAATTGTAATTCAAATTTTAAAGAATTTTACAAAAATTAATCACTTTCCTGCTTTTT